CAAAAGTTAATAGAAGACCCAGTCTTATTTTTGGGGAAATATGATAGCTTGCATTGCTATGCTTCAGCAACTCCTCAAATTGTTCTTTCACTACAGTAACTTCTGCTGGTGAAATCTTCTTATCTTTGAAGGGCTACTGAAGTATCTTCCTTTAATGAAGACTACTGCAACTCCCACACTAATTATTGTCTTATTTCTCTTAGTACCCTGTAAAAATCTGTTAGATTTCTTACATTTTATCATTATTTGTATGTCTATCTCCCTTATTAGATTATGATCTAATTAAAGGCAGGAAATTTTGACTTATTTTCCCTTAAACTCCTATGCACAATAAAATTCTAGTCTAATTATTTAATAAACATTCATGAGTGAAAGTGAACCCTATAGGATTTTATTGTGTTAAGCCTGCAATTTCTTCATAGAAATGTTAAGGTAACAATACCAACAGTGGTTTTATCAAATTCAGAGACTAAATACATATAACAAAGTTCTAAGGCTTTCAGATAAATTACTTATTTTAGAAAAAGCAAAAACCCCTGAAGCCCCAAATTTCATCTCTTTCACTTGGTACGATGGTAAGTAATTACTGAAAATTGTCTAATAAGCATTCTTCAACTTCACTTCACATGTGTACGTTAAGAACAGAAAATGGATGCTTTGGCTAAATGAGTGAATACGTCTTTGTACAAAGTCTTCATTCAACTTATAGAAATCACAGCAAATTCAAAGAATAAAACACATAAAAATTATACACAACATACCTGTCCATGAATAGGTGATACGGACCCAGGGGACACAGTGCGAGTAAAAGCTGATTTTTTCTGCCATGATGTATTAACAGTTAGGTTTGAAAAAGATACATTTTGATAATCAGTCACTGATGCTGGTTGATTTGAAGAAAGTGGTCTGCAAATATAACACTTTAATATATTTAACTGTTTAGACCCTAGTGAAATACTACAATTTATCTACCAGTATGTCATACATACTAGGTTTAAACAGAATTTGTGAAAGAAAAGAATTCATGAACAAACTACTGACCAATGCTTTCATTTGATAAATTTCAGTATTGGACTGGGAAAAATTAACAATATTATGAAATATCATGTGGACACAATTACATCTCAGCATTTATATATTGACAGAGACATACAAATTTCATCATCAACTCAAAACTTACTCAGAAGAAGTTGAGGTAGCAGATAAAGACACTGTAGGAGGAAGTAAGGCCTTCTTAGGAGACATAGTTTTCTCATTTGATGGCATTTTTTCTACATAGTTGCCTGGAAACCAGCCAAAGTTTCCTTGAAAACTGCCATAAAGCCAATCAGGCTCTCCTATGGTTTTTTCGTCAACCTGTGAAAAAAAAAAGAATTATTAACATTGCTTAGAAACCCACATATTTACAGTGGAAAAAGGTGCAGACTACAGCATTCTCATGTTCAGAAGTGCAACTAATAGTGGAGGCTTTTTCTATAAATAACTATAGGTTACAATTCTGTTTGAGTGAATACATGAAAACAGTTTACAAAGACAAACAGTATTATACAGAGCTTATGCTGGAAAAGTCTCTGGAAACCAATGCTCCTTATGTTCCAATTTCCCAATGCAAAATAGTAACTTGTTATTCTTCTTGGTTTCTTCTGTGTCATCTTCTATTTTCTAAATAATATGCTTATGCTGTTATTTCTTAAATTTTTTATTTTAGACATTATTGGCTTTTGGTTATGGAAAATGAAAACAACTCTCACTGTCCTCTCTTACCCTACAAATACTGTTACATCATAATTTCTTTAAATTATATTTAATATTTATATTATTATGACTATATAAATAACACCTGAGTCTAGCAGTATTCTGCCAATGACATTTCCTTTCTTATACTTTTATTTCCTTAAGAGTTAATCACTAATTTGTCTTTTATTTCTCTTTGTTCTTTTTTTTTTTTTTGGTGGTACTGGGGACTGAACTCAGGACCCTGTACTTGCCAGACAAGCGCTTATTCTACTGAGCTATCTCCCCAACCCTCTTTGTTCTTAAAAGGTCTTCTTGAACTCGTAACTAGAAAACCTCTGAATACTATTTTCCAAATGGTATAGAATCAGGTGAGTTTCGCCACTGGCTTTTTTGCTTCATGCTATTCCTTGAACAGGCCACATTCTCCCAGTGTGGTCAGTTTTCTATGTAATAATGAATCCTAAAGCTCTGTTCTTAGGACTGACTTCTCCACAGGAAACAGTCTCTACTTTCCATTCCTTCCAACACAGCTTTACCTAGATGTCCCATGGGAATTTCCAATTCAAGTCTAAGACTGAACCTTACTCTATATCCACTCATCCTTAGCTTACTATTTTGCTTCAATGTTCTATGTTTTTATTATTCTTAGACTTTGTCATTCTAAGTAAAAAAAAATCTCTGGCTCTTATTTCTTACACTTCTACAGCCAGGGACTTTGTAACTAAAAACTTCTGAATTTTTTTTTAAAACCTTCTCTCACTAACCTCTTTAAGGCTGTGTGTGTGTGTGTGTGTGTGTGTGTGTGTGTGTACGCACAATGTTACTGGGAATTAAACCTAATCCCTTCACACTGAACTATTTCCCCAGTCCTTTCTAATTTATTTTAATTTTTGAGAGAGGGTCTCACTAAGTCATTAAGTTGGCCAGGCTAAGCTCAAGCTTGTAATCCTCAGACTGCTAGAGTGCTGATATTACAGAAGTATGCCAACACATCCAGCTATGCCTTTTCATTTTCTACCTAAGATTACTGTAATCTTTACTGATTCTTGAAGATTCTGTTAACTTACACCAAATCAGGCCAGTGTTAATACTGCCATAAATAGTGTATCACACTGTATCGCCACGTGCACTTATCTTCTATTTGTCTAGTATCCATTTTATTGCTTTCATCTAGCATACCTGTAAGCATTCTGCTTACTTCACTGAATAAATATGGCAACTGTGTCTCTTTTCCATTTCACTTTTCATTAAAATCATATAGGATCCACTGATATTTGTAAAATCAGGTGAGGGTATAATTAACATTAATTTCACATTTAAGATATTAAATTTGATGTTTTAAAGTATTTATACACCTATGAAAAGTCGCCTTAATCAAACAATGAATATATCCATCACCCCCAAAACTTTCTTCTCATTCCATCATCAATCCTGGCCTACAACAACAGATTAGTCTGTACTTTCTAGAATTTTATATAAACAAAATCATACAGTATGTGCCCTTTTTCTTGTTTGCCTTCTTTCACTCAAATATACTGAGATTTAGCCACTCATTCCTTCTTTTTCTCAAAATTTTATTAATACACATTTGCAGTATACATTTTGAAATTCACCATAGCATTCCTGTCACTGCTTGGGTTGTTACACCATATGGACACATCACATTTTTCTTCCCACCTGCTTATAAACATCTGAGGTGTTTCCAGTCCTTATTAGTACAAATAAAGCTGCTAGGCACATTTCCCGTCATATGGGCATATCCTTTCAATTTGCATGGCTAGTTCATATGAAAAGTGCATGCTCAACTCTTCTGTGTGCAAAGAATGGCCTGTTAAATATAATCCACATCCCGTACAGAAACTAAATCCAAGTCTGTAGCTTCAAAATCCTACACTGCTTCTATTATATTCCACTAGCTCCATCAAATGTGACTCCCTGAATCTTTTCTTATTCATACACTGTAAGGTTGTGGTAATACAATGCAGAGCTTTGTTCCATGGGAGAAATAGCCTACATACAGTTAGGGTTGCAGAATCTACCTCCAGTTCTTTTTAACAGGTACCACAAAATAATCAATTTCTCAAAATTTTCTTTTCTCGATTTTTTGACACAGGGTCTTGCTATGTAATTCAGGCTGGTCTAGAACTCATGGGGATCCTCCTGAATGCTGGGATGGTGTGTACGTGCCACCAAACTCATCTTCAGAATTTTATTTTTAATTTGTTAAAATAGAGAAATCATCCCACCTTTTACAGTATGAAGCAATATGGCACAGAGAAAAAATAATAGATTTAAGACTCAGAATACACATATTTTACCCTGGCACTGCAATGCTGACAGTTACAATTTGTGTGAGCCTAAGCTTCCTTGCCTGAAATACAGCAGTAATAACAACTGTTCCATGCAGATACGAATGCCCAGGTATGTTACACAGGAGGTATGGTCTAAGGACCAAAATACTTTAACAAAATAACTATTGCCAAGTGTGGTGGCACACAACTGTAATCCCAGCACTTGTGAGGCAGAGGCAGGAGGATTGCTCTGAGTTTGGGACTAGCCTGGGTTACATAGTGAGACCTTATCTCAAAAAATAAACAACAAAAATTACAAAAAATTTTGGTTAATGCATTTTTACAGTCAGTAATATTTTACAATTACAGCTTATTCAGGAGAAAAAAGACTTTATTTCCTACCTGAATTATATCCCCAGAATTGAAACTCAACTCATCATGGTTCCTTGCTTCAAAAGGGTATAATGCTCTATAATTCACCAAAGCAGTAGCTGTCTCACCTAAAGAGAAGGCAATGCTATAAGTTGCTGCTTGCATGTATATACATCTTTGTTATGATTTAATAAAGACCTCTGAAAATCTAAATGAAAAAAATTGAGCATCAAAAAGGTACAATGAAAATTCACTGGACACAGACTTGTTAGGACTTAAATGTCCTGAATAATCATATCATCAATATAAAAGCAAAGAAAGATGTTTGTTCATCTCAAATAAGGGAGGAGGCAGTAAAACAAAGGGAGGACATGCAGGCTGAGGTGTGTGCAGGGATGGAGGACAGGGTGGAACAGTGGCCAGGCCACGCTGTACACAGTGGAAGGAGACTAAGCAGGGTTTCCTCTGTGGTGGGCAGAGCACAACAGGGAAGAAAAGACAAAGAGTCACAAATAACATCAACAAGTAAACCAAGTTGGCTGAAGAAAAATCCAGATTATCAGTAAGGTTCTAAAGGTCAAACAGTAGAAAAGTTCACAAATCCATTTGGCTTGATAAAATGAAGACTTGCTCACTTTTAGAACAGATACTTTAACTTGTAAAATTCTGAACATATTGTACTGTTCTATGAACTGAAAAGTTTATGCATGCACAAGAGGATGCACTCTAAGCTACTCAAGGAATGGCTCAGAGGGATGTAAAAACAAAGTTTCTTTTCAGAAAAATTCAATATGTAAAGACTTAAAATTTTACTGTTGTTTCATTAAAAATAAACAACTTAGGTCTAGCACCTGGTTGGCAAGTACAAGGACCCAGATTCAATCCCCAGTACCACATGCCATGCCAGCCTTGCCCCAGGTAGGACGCTGTGTCCACCATGGTGATGCAAGCCTCTAATTCCAGTGCTGGTGAGGCTGTGGCAGGAGGATCACTACAAGTCTGAGCTGCAGAGTGAGACCCTGTACCAAATACATATATATATATATAT